GGGGGGGCAGACCCTCCCAGGACCCCCCTAGCTACGCCTATGGCTGTTTAACGGGACGCAAGTAACTTCCCGCTTGATTGTAATTTGAAGTCTCACCTCTATAATATCTCTAAGAACAAATAATAAACAAATAAAATAAATATATATTTTTCAGTCATTTTTAACCCCAAGATTTGAATATATCAGGTTCGCTGTGCACGTGGCATAATTAAAATCTCCAATCACTAATATTTATAAATAAATTATTAGGTATATCATTTGTGTGTGCGTAATATAAGGATTATTTTAGGTTCAAATATTGGACTTCGAGAGGATCCCACTGTCGCTATGGTAACCGCTGCGTAAAAGCTATTCCCATGGGTACCCATGGCTTCAGCTATGTATAACATGCTATAAATCTGTAGAAACGGCTAGTCTGTGACTTAATCCTTGACAAAAACCATGTCTGTGGTAAACACTTTATCGATAGTAAAACTAGGAAACCACATATCAAATAATGATGTAGATTTGTTCTTTTAAAAAAAATGGGAGCGGAGATTTCTTAAACACCGCAAACGAGATACATGGTTTGGTAGTTTTACCGTCGATATGGCTATGCCTTCGGCAAACACTATATAACCATTAGGTACTATAGCTATCTGCTTGACTATATCTCCATTTCTATCTCTAAGTATATTTCTATGACACAGTATCCCATTCAAATCACAAGAATCACGATCGTCTATTTTAAAATACTCTTAGACTTTATTAGAAGTAATGTTGTGAGCACGTTTGTCCCGAATAAAATACATATATCGACGGTGCAAGTCGGCAATCACATAACTCGTTTGCGGTGTCTGAAAAGCTCCGCAACTATGTTATTTTTTTAAAGGAGAACAAATGGACATGATTCCTTGCAGTTTTTGCAGAATTTTCCTCGCACATAGAAGAAAAATCACGGCAGTTTTAAGGAATTACCGTTGAGTAGTTTTCCGTTTAAAGAATAAAGTATGATAGGAAGTCTGCGACGTCGCAAATCGAGTTATGTGATTGCCGACTTTCACCGTCGATATATTATACTTACGAATTGATCTGTCCAATTTATAAACCACGACTGCCCTTCTCCATAATCGTTCGGGGTGTTTCAGGCGTTTCTTGCTCCGCATCCGAATCTTTGTTAAAGAAAATAAGCAAATTAGGGGACGTCATATCCTGATTTTTCAGCTATCTCGGGAATGCACTACCTACTTAATTTAACGATTCGTCCTATTTTGGATTTTTCTTGCCCTTTGAAAAAATAAAATCAAAGAGAGGACTAATCGTTGAAGTAGGCCACGGGAAACTCCACAAATTTTGCTCACATACCTACTTTTTTGCGGTTTGAATGACTGGCAACGTTGTATTACATTTAAATAATCAATGCATTTATCGGAGAATTGACAACGCCAAGATAAAAAACCATTAATAGTTTACTTCATTGGTACAAAAGGTAACCTTGGATTAAGTTAAAATTCAATAGAGAAAAAACAAGTAAAGTTCCTTCGATTCCCACGGTGCGGTAAACACTACATGAATTTTATCATGACAACTGAATGCAACTATAAGAGCTCTACGGATATCCGGGTTGCATACGCACGGAAGCGAAGGCGTTTTGACTATCCACGCACTCCGCGCTTCACCTGCGGCGGTTGGCTGTCTATATTGCGAGACTGTATTTTGATCCGTCAAAATGACAGATCGCCTTCAATTCTTCATTTATACCACAAAAACATCTCTCAGGCTCGAATATCGTTGCTCTACAAATCGTGCTCAACACATAGCAATATCATAGCGGAAGTAGGTACAAAAGATTCTTACATTCTGTATGCACTATTCGTGCCCGGGAGGGAGGTATCTTTGTAGTATAAACGAAGGGCTCAAAGAGCTCTGTCATTGCGGATCTTCGTAGTACCTATAGCCTGCCGCGCCGCGACGACGCACCACAGGTGAAGTACCAGCTGCCAGGAGAATTAAAACGCCTCCACGTTCGTTTGTATGCAACATGGACATCCATGAAGCTCGAAAAGATGCATCCAGGCGTAACGATGACATTCGCTCAGTGTTCATCACACGCGATACTTATTATTGAAGAAGCTCTGCTTGTTTCTCTTACACCATATAACTCAATTCCAACGTCGGCTGCATGTTGTGTCGATGAAATAAATTTTTACTTATTTTTATCACGACACTGTCAATTTTCCGAAAAATTCTTCGATTTGTTGAAGAAATAACATCTTGATTCTGGAAAAAGCTAGGTCCGCTGACAAGAATCGATTATTTAACACAGGTTTAAATGAGGGAAAACAGCATTACCAACTTTTTGGGTCCGCCTCCGCGCTTTGAACGAGCCAAAAACTAAAACAGAGCCTTACGAGGTTTCATTTTACCACATTTCTATTAGTTTCTCGGGTCGCCGAAAATTGGAGCTGCTTTTTTTAAAAATGAAACTAAGTTACTAGTTTTACGTATCTGCAGAAAAACACATCTCACGGTGTAATTGATGAAAAAATTGAACACTAAACTCGTTTTTTTGCCTTAATACTCACGTTAAAACTTCATCCATGTCAATAGCCCTCATGTATACCTAACTACTAAGCATCCAGTAGAGCCTTAAAATCATAGGAAACCTCATGCACACATCCTGAACTTACTGACAGCGAGTAGGTATAGGTATTCTATCATTCATGCTTTGAAAACTGGTCTATTCTTACCTTTTGACCTTCATGCCATGTTTCGTACTCATCGTCGACCTTAAATTTACTGCCCTCGACGCCACTTTCAGTCACGGAAATCAGTAAAACGACCACGAGAATAAAAAATATCAGAAGGGTAGTTGTAGCCATCACCACTCGGTACATGCTCGAATACTGTGAGGAGCGAATGAGATCAAAATAGAGCGTCGCGCATTTCCTGTCACAATTTTTTCCCCTCCTGCTCATCTCAATTCTCCGCATGTTCAGTAATGAGCAAGCTAAAAAGTGTTGCATGTTTTCGAGCAGCATCCTTCAGGGTTTTTTTTATTTTTTATATTTTGCATTTGTTTGAGGGTTAAGTGCGTAGGAACTATAATGGGTCACCTTAGGGTGCGTCAAAAAAAATGAAAGTCTGAAATGTTCCGCTCCCCAGGCGGCAATCGATGACGTTTGGTAAAAAAACATGTTTGCCAAAATTTGGGCCAATTTCAACCATTTTAAATGGTGCCAAAGGTCAATTTTGTGATGAAATTATGATATTTTGGTTTAGACTTCGATTTCGTACAAAAAACTCGATTTTACGCTGAAATCGTGCGTTTACGACAAAAATGCCAAAGAACTCGACTTGTAGAGGATGAAATTTTACACTAGGAAGACGTCTTTGTAACCGATAAAAATCAAATTGAACTAGAAAAACTCAACTCGGTATTTATTTTTTTGGTCCTCAGAATTTCCGAGGCCTTAGAAAGTAGAGGTTTAAAAGACTCATTTTTCACGAAAATAAGTCGAAAGAGGGTGTAAATGAACTGTAGGCAAGTGTTGAGGATGCAAAAGTCATCAGAACTTCCTCAGTTTCAAAAAAAGTTCCAACTATTTTGCACAATCCTCCAAAAAGTGCACGGCTCGAGAAGCAGGATCGTGCTATAATAGTAAGGGGAAAGTGCGGTTTGACCGGGAAAAATTGCGTAACAAACTTTCCCTATGTAATCGTCATCAGTAGGTCCCCCTGAACAACTTCCTAAAAGTTAAAACTGGCCCGACCCCGGAATACCCCTCAAAAAAGTTAAAATTGAAAATGGCGGCCGTAATGAGAGGGTCCGGGAAATCGGTAGGTATTTTAAAATGCTCATTCTGTCTCATCATGTGAGGTATCATTTCCTATGTAATTTTGGTCGTAGATTCCATGAATGAATTCCACAAGGCCCTCCGGCCAAAGGGGGCGCTCTAAATCAAAGATGGCGGCCAAATGTGAAAGGCAGGAGGTTGCATTTTTTTAAATATTCACCGAAGGAACAAGGAAAGTGAATTGTCTTTATTTTCATGTATTTATGGCCAAGAAACTTAAATTTGATGTTATAAATGTATTTAATAAAGGAAAATAAAGGAAACATACGACTACCGAGAGAAACGTAAGCTTAGAAGGGGCCTTGCGGAATTCATTCATGGAATCTACGACCAAAATTACATAGGAAATGATACCTCACATGATGAGACAGAATGAGCATTTTAAAATACCGATTTCCCGGACCCTCTCATTACGGCCGCCATTTTCAATTTTAACTTTTTTGAGGGGTATTCCGGGGTCGGGCCATTTTTAACTTTTAGGAAGTTGTTCAGGGGGACCTACTGATGACGATTACATAGGGAAAGTTTGTTACGCAATTTTTCCCGGTCAAACCGCACTTTCCCCTTACTATTATAGCACGATCCTGCTTCTCGAGCCGTGCACTTTTTGGAGGATTGTGCAAAATAGTTGGAACTTTTTTTGAAACTGAGGAAGTTCTGATGACATTTGCATCCTCAACACTTGCCTACAGTTCATTTACACCCTCTTTCGACTTATTTTCGTGAAAAATGAGTCTTTTAAACCTCTACTTTCTAAGACCTCGGAAATTCTGAGGACCAAAAAAATAAATAGGTACCGAGTTGAGTTTTTCTAGTTCAATTTGATTTTTATCGGTTACAAAGACGTCTTCCTAGTGTAAAATTTCATCCTCTACAAGTCGAGTTCTTTGGCATTTTTGTCGTAAACGCACGATTTCAGCGTAAAATCGAGTTTTTTGTACGAAATCGAGGTCTAAACCAAAATATCATAATTTCATCACAAAATTGACCATTGGCACCATTTAAAATGGTTGAAATTGGCCCAAATTTTGGCAAACATGTTTTTTTACCAGACGTCATCGATTGCCGCCTGGGGAGCGGAACATTTCAGACTTTCATTTTTTTTGACGCACCCTAGGGTCACCTGACAGCATTTAGGCATCAGCATCAGACTGCATTTCGTAGTTTAGAAAAAACGAAGGTGAACGGAAAATTTCTGGGTAGCGATGAATTAGGAGCTTAAAATGCGTGATCCCCTGTAACGACTGACGTAAATGTCATTATCAAAGTGCTCATTAAAATAACGTTGACATCATCAGGGCCGGATATACTTACATGCCGCCCACGGGCTGCCTGTATTTTGCCATCCCCTTCTCATTCGTTTTGAAACATCAATAAAAACCATCAAATGAACGTGCCGGAGGGGGAGGGTTGCATAAGACGCGATTACTCACATGGACACATTTTTTTGCGAAAGCCCTGTCGACGCTACTAGCAAAAGTTCACGGAACTCGACGCGAAAGTTAAGTTCCGTAAACCTATCCCTGTGTGGACAAGGCCTTCCATTTATATGAAATGAACAAAAAATTATGAAAGAACAAACATAAATGTGGTTTAATAAGTTTAACTTCCGCCGCCGCGCCGCGCTGACCGCACTGTGTTTGGCGCAATTCGTGAAGTATTCTTACAGTCGTGTATGCGGTATTGCGGTATGCGTTTCGAGCCGACCGTTGCTGCACGCACTGTGTTTGACGCAATGCGTGAAGTATTCATGCAGTCTTGTAGGCGTTAAGCGTTTCACGGCGTCCGCTGCTGACCGCAGCGACCGCACTGCGTCTTCGACGCAATGCGCGAAGTATTCATGCAGTCTTGAAGGCGCTAATATGTGTTACATGCCGACCGCCGCGCCGCGCCGAGGGTTTCTCCTTTTCATCTCAAGATCTCGTCATCGTCGGCCTGTATCTGCGCCGCGCCGTTCCATGCCAAATTCCGTGTTCGGTTTTTCTCTTAGTCTTAACTCGACTGATTAAAGGTCACTGTCTACAGTACCACAGAAAGACGACAAAATTAGAGATATACTCTTGGGAAATGAGAGATTTTGTCATCTTTTCTCGTTAGTTTTTTTTTTTTTTTTTCTGAATTCAATTTTTCTGTATAGCTACATTTAAAAAAATTACAAAATTTGCTGCTCCCTAAATTTGCCGCTTCCTAAATTTGCCGCTTCCTAAATTTGCCGCCATGGTCCGCGGCCCATGTGGCCACCCCCTAAATCCAGCCCTGGACATCATAACGTATTTTTAGCATTTTACCAACGAGGTTTCTTACTATCATTCTTGAAAAGGTTGTTATAATTAGTAAACATGATTATATCTAGCGCGGATCCGAGTCTCGAGAGCCCCCGAGTGTGGAATTTATGTCTATCGATGACATTTCTCCTCCCATCGAAAGCTCCTCTTTGGCTAGAGCCCTTGTCCATCGACGGGTCGGAGTTTTGAGTACATCTAAGTGTTAGGTAAAGGAGTGTCGATCAACAACATTCCTTTGCCCGTCGGAGGGTCCGAGCTTAGAGTACTACTCCTGACTGTGGACTTTATGTCTATCAACGCGACATTCTTTGACACGCGTACAGGGCCGGATTTACCTACTTGCCGCCCATGGGCCGCCTGTATTTTTTCGCCCCTTCTCATTCGTTTTGAAATATCAATGGATCGTATTCAACAGTGGTTCGATGTATCATTTGGTTCAAAACAATAGAACATTACCTCAAACAAAAATTTTAGGATTTAATTTGGAAAAGCAGAAAATGAGAAAATTCCTAACAATTTCACTATTCATTGCCATTTGAACTGCATTTTGCAATTTGGAATTATAAATTCTGGCTCATCTGAAAAAACACTTATGTGCACAGGGAAACTAATGGCACATATGTTGTTTTTAAACCGGGCCAGAATTTATAGTTCCAAATTGCAAAATGCAGTCCATTTGGCACTCGAGAGAATAAAAATTCGATCACATAAGACCCGTTACCTCAGATTTCTAAATTGACTTTTGAGGCTGTGGTTACATATTGAATCAATCGATATCAATATAATCTCACCTGTGTGATCTGTCGAATACGATCTATAAAAACCATCAAGTGAACGTGCCGGTGGGAGAGATGGAGGGGTGTACGAGACGCGTTTACTTGTGTTGGGCACATTTTTTTGTGAAAGCCCTGTCAACACTGACAAAAGTTCAGTTCCGTTAACCATCCCTGTTTGGACAAGGCCTTCCACTTATAAAAAACGAACAAACAAATTATGAAAGAACAAACATAATTTACCTTCCGCCGCCGTCGCGCCGAGTTGGAGCAATGCGTGAAGTATTCGAATACTTCACGCACAACGCACGTTTCGCTTCACGCCGACCATCCCTGACCGCACTGTTTGGCGCAATGCGGGAAGTATGCATGCAGTCTTGTAGGCGCTATGTGTTTCAAGCCGACCGCAGTGTGTTCGACGCACTACGTGAAGTATTCGTGCAGTCTTGTAGGCGCTATGCGTTTCATGCCGACCGCCGCGCCGCTCCGTTCCAGGCCAAATTGCGTGTTTGGTTTCTCTCTTAACTCGACTAATTAAAGGTGATATCTCTTGTATCACCGAAAGACGACAAAATTAGAAATTACTATACTTTTACTCTCAGGAAATGAGAGATTTTGTCGCCTCTCCTCGTTTGTAATTTATTTTCTGAATCCGATTTTTCCTCTTTTTTTGATGCCTACATTCAAAAAAATTGCAAAATTTGCCGCCTGTTAGGTACATTTTGCCGCCATGGGCCGCGGCCCATGTGACCACCCCCTTAATCCGTCCCTGCACGCGAAAGCTTAAATACAGCACAGCCGAAACCCTAATCCATCGCAGGGTCAAAGCTTTGAGTGTACCCCTTTGTATCGATTTTATGTTTATCAACGACATTCTTTAGTCTTTTCGAGCAATGAGAATGACACGTATTCTCATGCGTGCCATAATACAAACGCTCATGGCGAAATTAACATTAAAATTTTCAGTTTATTTATACCTTATAGGTATAGTCAAAAAATTCATATCCTACGTCTCTGAAAGACTTGTTTCACTGTGAGAGGCGGAATTTACTGCGAGGATCTGAAGTGGCAAAATGCCTTCAACTCTTAAGTTATCAGAACAACGGGGGCATCCTTTAGACATGAACGTCTGGCTGCTCTACAAATCGTGCTCAGCGCA